TGCCTTTCTGAGGGATTTTATAGAGCAAATCCATGATATGAGGCAGGTCCAAGGTGGGAAACTTGGTAAATAGTAAGGTGGGCATGAAGAGGACAAAACTATGTTCAGCCAATAAAATTATATTTGCTCATGTAAAATTGACTAAGTCAGGAACAAAAGGGAAAGCAAGTCACTAACAAGTGGGCATGGGGCTTGCTGGTTTGATCCCCAGCTCCACATGCTATACCAGACCTGCCCTTAAGGCAGCCTAAGCCAAAAACAACAACAACAACAACAACAAAAAAAAATAGGCATGAATACAGAACAAGGGCTTTTCCTGTAGGGGTTGTGTTAGTGACTCTTCCTGGCTTCCTCGAGGTGATAGAGACCGATTTAGAATATCAATTCCTGATATTTATCCTTATTGTTATAGGCAACTGAATTAAATAGAAATATTATAGGCAGTCAGATAGGGCTAGGCCTTCAGGGTGACAATATGGAAGACAAGATAACCTTGCAATTTTGGGAGAGACAGACACTCCCACTGTGAGCCAGACCTTAAGACAAAAGAGTAAACAAATACAGCCACATACTTCCCTAGGGATGAGCATCAGGGATTTATAATCACCTTGGGGAAGCCAGGAAGAGTCACTAACCCAACCCTCTACAGGATGGTTGTTCTGTATTCATGCCAGCTTGCTATGTGACTGGATTTGACCCATTGTTTTGGGTTTTTTGTTATTGTTGTTTTTTTGGAGTGGGTGGTACAGACTGAACTTGGGACCTTGCACTTACCAGGCAGGCATTTATTCCACCGAGCTATATACCTGGCCCTGGTCCTGGATTTAATCAACTTTACCTGAGCAACTGTACTTGTAATGTTATTGGTTGCCATAGTTTTGTCCCACCTAATGTGTAAGTTTCTATGTTTTCTCCTCACCTCATGGTTTTGCTCTCTAAAAATCCCTAGAAAAGACAGCTTCCCAGGCAACCTGCTTGGGTCCCCTTCTGTCCCTCTCTTGGACAGAAGCCTTCTTTCTCCCAATAAATATATTATGTTCTTAACCTCCATTGTTCCTAAAATTCATTCTTCAGTTTTGTAGAACACAAACTCATCCCAATCTTTCAGGTTGGGAGTTTCACTCCCCTATATCATTATAAAGTATGTGGGTGCATTTGTTTCATCTTTTGTCTCAAGGTTTGGCTCTCAGTGGAGGTGCCTGTCTCCCCCACAGTTGCAAAGCATCCTGTCTTTGACACTAGTTCCTTCAAGGGCCTAGCCCTATCTGGCTGCCTATATTTCTATCAAACTCAGTTGCCTACAACAATATTTTTATCTTTGTTGTTTCCTTGATTACATGCGACATTATTGTAGGCAGCTGAATTAGATAGAAATATTATAGGCAGTTAGACAGGGCCAGGCCCTCAAGGAGACAAGATGGAAGACAAGGTGACTTTGCAACTTGGAAGAGAGAGACACTCCCATATGGGCCAGACCTTAAGAGAAAAGAGGAAAGACAGCTACATACTTCCCTAGGGATGGGCATCAGGGATTGATATTCTAAATAGCTATCAATCACCTTGAAAGAGCTCAAATGTGTCACTAGCACAACCCCCAACAGGAAGAGACCCTGTCCCAGATTCATGCCCACTTGCTATGTGACTCACTTCCCCATTTGGTACTGGATTTAATCAATTTTACCTGAGCAATGGTGCTTGTAATTTCATTGGTTGACCATAGTTTTGTCGCACCTCATGCCCACCTAAGCAAGTTCCCATGCCTTCTCTACCATCTTAGACCTGCCTCACTGCATGGATTTACTCTATAAAAGTCCCTGGAAGAGACAGCTTCCCAGGGATAACCCACTCGGGCCCCCCTCTTGTCCTTCTCTCAGACAGAAGCTTTCTTTCCCTCAATAAATATATTCTGGGGCTGGGGAAATAGCTCAGTAGAGTAAGCCCTTGCCTGGCAAGTGCAAGGGCCTGAGTTTAATCCCCAGGGCCTGAGTTCAATCCCCAGTTCCACAACAATAAATAAATAAATAAATAGATAAATAAATAAATAAATAAAAATACATATATATATTCTTATATTCTGCTCATAAGCAGAATTTTGTTCCTAAAATTAATTCTTTGGTTTTAGAGAACACGAACTCATCCCAGGTATCTTTTAAGTTGGGAGAGCAGTTTTTCTGTGTCATTTGGAGGTTCCCTGTATCAACATCATTCCACGCATTTTATTTTGAGAGTCTTGCTAAGTTGCCTCAGACACCCAAGTAGTTGGGATTACAGGCATTTGCCATCATGCCTGACAACATTTCACCTCTTTATTGTCTGCCTGGCCTCCTTGAGCATGGAAATTTGAGACCTCTGTAAGCTATTATAAACAGCTAAGTTATTTAGAAATATTCCAGGCAGATAGGGCTGGGGCCTTAAAAGTTCAGTGCAGAAGAAAAAAAAAAAAAAAAAAAAGAGGAAAATTCACCCATATGCTTTCCCTAGAGATGAACAACAGTGATGGGTATTCTAAACAGGCATCAATCACCTTGGGGTGGTGGGTTGGCCAGAGAGCTCAGCAGACTAAAGCAGATGGACTAACACATCTGATTAGGCAGAGCACAACAGCCGGGTTCCATCCCTGCTTGTCATGCTGGCCCTGCCCCAGGGGCACTCTGAGATAGAGATTGAGACTGGGCATGGTGGCATGGGCCTGTAATCCCAGCACTTAGGAGTCTGAAATCAGGAGGATCACTGTGAGTCTGATCTGTGTAGTAAGACCCTGTAGACCCTGTACTAAATACATTTTTTTTGTTAAATCACCTTGGGGCAGAGACCAAAACTTCCTTAACCCACCCTTTCCTGGAAAGTCTTTGTCTCAAGTGCACTTGCTATGTATGTGACTTGCTTCTCAATTCAATCCCCATTTAATCAATATTTCCTAAGTGACTATATTTGTTGTAATCTTATCGCTTGACCATAGTTTTCTCCCACCTCACACCATCCTGTGATTTTTCTATATTACACAAGTGACTGTACTTGTAATTTTACTCTTTTTTTTTTTTTTTTTTTTTGAATTCTGGGGATTGAACTCAGATCCTTGCGTTTGCCAGTCAAGCGCTTATCCTACTGAGCCATCTCCCTGGCCCCCTGTACTTGTAATTTTATTGATTGATTATAAAGCCACCTTAGTGCATGACTTTGCTCAGTAGATCATCCTTGAGAAGTGGGGTTGGTGGGAAACCCACTTTTTGGGCCTCCTTCTGTCCCCTTGGACAGATGCTTTCTCTCTCAATAAATTCTTCAATAAATTTATTGGAGAATAGAAATGATGAATGGGCAATAAGAATAGCTTCTAAGAGACAGGAAGGGTCCCAAATGAGTTGCCCAAAGTTCTTCCTACTCTTTTTTTTTTTGTACCAGGAATTGAACTCAGGAACTTGTGCTTGGCAGGCAGATGCAGTTGCACTGAACTGTAACTCTGGCTCCTTCTTCCTACTCTTAACTTCCATTGTTTGTAGAATGTATTCCGTGATTTTAGGGAATATGAACTCAGCATTTCAGACATCTAGCAGGTTGGGAGTTATAATATTTTCCTTATGTTATTTAGATTATTTGGTGGTCATGTATCATATGCCCTATACCAGTACTACGAGCAACAGAAAGGGAGCAATTAGCTCTGGAGGCTGGTGGGATGAGGTGGGGCTGTAGTGACCCAGTAGAATGTGTGTCAGGGAAGATGGGATAAAGCAGGAGATGTGTGCTCACAGATGGGTTGCACTTAGGTTTGGCTTTGTAGTACAGTGAGTAGGAATCATGTAATCATTTGAGAATCTGAGCTAAAACCTTCAGTGTGAATGTATAAGCCAAAACAGGAGGGAAAAAGGGGGAGGGAGGGAAGGAGGAAGAGAGAGAGAGAGAATCAGTTCTGAAGACCTCTGAATCAAATGTGACTGTTGTCACTTGGGATTCATGATCTGGAACTCAGATCTCATCTGGCAGATCTGGATGCGTGGAGGGAATAGGAACAACTTTATTTCTAACAGATTCCTAGCCCCTGGATTAGATTTGAGCAATGTGGACAAAACTTCAATCTAGTGGGCCATGGGCCAGTTTGGTCTATAGAGTAAGATTTTTCTGGTTTGCATATTATCTAGATTTTTTAAAAAAACTGGTTGCTGATAGGTGTTTCACGTAACATCTGAATTTGGCCTTCTTGTTCATCATTCTGTGTTGTGCTGCTATCAGGTGGCTTGCTTCTAAAAAGTGACTTGCCAACTAAAGGGTTAAGGGTTCTCATCTTGCCTTCTGATGTTGAATTCCAGGTATTTATCTCAGACAAAGAGAGTGAAATGAGCAAAAAGCAGTGGCAAAATTTATTCAAGAAAGTAAAAGTGAACAGTGGGGAAGAAATAGGCTCTGCACAGTGAGCTTGGGCAGAGTAAATAGAAATAGAGGGTAAGAGCAAAGAAAAGCACATGCTGCATCTGGGAAACCCAGCATGGGATATCAGGGAAAGTTATGACAGCAATATCTTCATGGCTGGGTGTGTCCTTTATACTATCCAAATCTTGAGGAAACCCAGGAGAATTTCTAGTCCTGAGAGGAAGTTCTAGGATCCTGCACTTCATGCAGACATGAGGTCCAGGAAATCTATTGAAAACCTTGGGTTCTGATGAGCTTGGGGTCTGCAGAGCTTTGAGAACTCTATTGCACATGGGCTCATGGATCTTGTAGTAACAGGTCACACTTAGTTCCCCAGCCAACTTTCACCACACCTTAATCCATCTCAATATTGCTGAGTTTTATTTTACTTTTAGTATTTTTTATAATTGATATTAGCTTCTAAATTGATACTTTTATTACATGGTCACTGCTTACCACAGACTGCACATGATATCTTTTTGGGAATCATTTGGGTTTGAGGGGTCTAAAGAAAGGAAGAGGAACGAGGGCAGGAAAGAGTAGTTAGAGAATGAGAAGAACCAGGACTACAATGATCTAGAGTCCATAGGATGAACGGTATGTCATCAAGAGTCCATTTTAAAGGCTATAAGGAGAAGGTGAACAGGAGCTAAAAGGAGGGTCTCAGAGGTATCTGAGGATGGGTGTAGCACTTACATTCATAATCCCAGCATATGGTCATGAATGAGTCACAAATGACAGATTCAACCACCTATGAGGCTTATGGGGGACATCTAGACACAAACCATAACAGCTATAATTTGTGTAAGTAAAGAATAAATGCTGATTTAGGCTTGGAGATTAGAAGAGCTGTGTATAGTAGATGTTTCTCTGCCAGAAAGAATAGGGAAGGCACTACCAGGCAGTTTGGGTCTAGAGATAAACAAAGTATGAGGGTCAATATCTCAAGGTTGCAATTTGGCTTTTTTGGGAGGGGGAGCCCAGCTAATTTGGAACCTATACGTGATCACAGTGTGAGGACCCAGCAGTGGGCAGAGTGGAAATATTAAAACAGGGACTAGTGGATGATGCTTCATCATAGAGCAGGTAGCAAGCTGGTTGTGATGAACCCCTCCAAAGAGAGGAAATAGTAAGGCTGGCATTTTTTTTTTTTTTTTGAACCAGGGATCAAACTCAGGCCCTTGCACTTGCCAGGGAAGTGCTTATTCCACCGAGCCATCTCCCCAGCCCCTAGGAAATAGTAAGGGAGAAGAAGAAAAACATAACTTGGGATAAAAAGAGGGGAAATCAGCAATAACAAACTGTACAGGAACATGTGCTCCTGAAAGGTCTCCAATTAGAGGAATATTGTAGAAACCTTTGCTATTGTCTTAGGTGATTTTCTCATTGCTGAGACAAAATATCCAATATCCAAAGTTAAAGAAGGAAAGGTTTATTAAACTCACAGTTTGTAGAGGTTTCAGTCCATCATCAGCTGGTTCCAAGGCAGGGTGACTTCATGGAGGACAGTAATTGATGGCTGGCAGAAGACAGCAAAAGTAACAAAGGAGAAAGAAGACTCTTTCTGTCCCTTACATTGTATGCAGGCTACCCACTGTAGGATGGGTGTAGCACTTACATTCATAATCCCAGCATATGGTCA